ACCACTATGCCATTCAACCATGACTAACCAATCTAACTTCTTCTAATTCATCCTTAACTTGCCTTAGAGATAATAATAGCTCCATTCCTTATATCACAAATCTAAATCCGCACCCATCCTGAGTGACCCTATTCCAAGAGACCACATTGTCTCCAAACCCATAAACCATTTCATACCCTCCTTGCACGCACATTCGCATCTTCAACTAATACACAATTCTGATAATTCCCCTACGAAAGTCATTTCCTCTTTTTCCTCCCAATGCTACACTGCAAGTCAAAAATATCATAGAACCTCCCAAGCCTCCTATCATAATCTGTTACAAAAGCTCGATTCTTAATCATACTGCGGCCTTGAATCCTTAGGCATCGAGTAACCTTTGAATTTACTAGGACCGTTGTTGAGAGCCACCCGCTCTAGCTTGGTCCTGAATATAATCAACATCAAGTCTCCGCTGGCACATGAACACCCATTTTAATGAAGCACCCGACTGAATCACTTCCCAAAGCCTGAACATGAGTCAATAAGGCCAGCTATAGCACACCTTTATCAATTCCTTTGCTCAAGTTACCACTTATGTTCCTTTCCCTTAGCTGAAATAACTCATTAATATACCGATAACCAAAACCTCATAAGTAGATAACCGTGCAACCCAATCGTAGGCGGTGGGACTCTGCCACTTAGCTGGAAGCCACTATTACACAACTCTGAAACCCACCAAGATTCGTTTTTCATTGTTGACATGATCTTGCACAACCAACCCGCCAAATTCCTCGAAACCTTCCTGTTAACCATTCCATGAACACTTTGAATCACTAGTCATGTTTACATATTCTACCTCTCACCGGATAGCCAGTAGAATTCTTCGTAGAAGCTTCGTGAACCACGCGGCCGCTGACCTGCTAACAGGATATAAACCACCTGGGAAAATTACATGCCGACATCTTCCAACATCACTGCACTGGGTACACTTACTACGAATCAGTAACCCATCCAAATTCATGTTGTACCCTTCTTCATATCAAGCAACTCCTTTCTGTTGCACCCAATTTCCCGCCGTATGACAGCCAATTTTCAAATCAAGCCCGTAGACCCAGTCACTGACCAACGTGAATCCCAATTCATTCTAAACTCCTCCCAATGCGTGTAGTCATCCTACCACAGAACCCATGTGCTACTCTGCCACTCTCCCACTTTGGTCAAACTTACTCCTTTAAGCAACTTCTCAACTCTTGTCTCCTACACTTGGCCTTCTAGGAGTTTAATCGCCACAAGACACTTCCCACATGTCCATCCCCATCCTTCGCTGCCCAGCCGTTGCCTTAAATCAAAATACATCTCTGTAGCACTTGAACCAATAGATCGTTACTCCGTCAACCCAAACCTGAACATTCGTGATCCGGTTGTCTTTCCTCTGTCAGAAATAAAACACTGAATCTCTGAATCATGCATTGAGTAAACCTCCTTCCAAGTCAACCACTGCTCCGGCACATAGACAAGCATCCTACCATTACATTAATACCGTGCGATAACAACCCATGAGCATCATAGTAACCTGTGATTAGCCTCAAAGTTCTCAGAAGTACAGCTACTGAGGTGAAACGACGGAATATCCTTCCACACGACGACGACAATAGTCCAATCCACTATGCAGGGGGAAACATCCCGCACCATATCTGTAGTACCATTACAATTCCTCAAACTCTTGATTTATAATAAGCGCTTCATGTCGCATAAGATTGAGTAGGAAAGAAACAAAGGCTTAAGCCTCAAAGAAATCAAACCACATGCTGAGGAATCAAGAAGGGAAGTGCTCCTAACAGTCCTGTAGCCTCTCGAAGATAAGTAGAGACGTCTCCGTACCTATCCGCAAGACTCTACTAGACTTTCTCATGACTCGAGAGACCTACGTGAATCTAGTGCTCTGATACCATGTTGTCACGACCCAAAATCCGTCAAAGGCTGTGATGGCACCGAACAACTCGGTCAGGCAAGCCAACATTGAGTAATTAATTAAACTCTAATTTTAATATTTTAGGAACCATAATTTCCTTTAATTTAACTAGTAAAAAGGTAATCATCACTAAATAAATAAAAATGTTTACAACTTTTAATATTAAATATCCCATAATCACCCAGAACCCGATGTCACAAGTGCATGAGCAATCACTAGGAAATCAAATGAAGTACAATAACTGTCCGGAATACAGATTTGGACAGAAAGTAAATAAAACACACTGAAAGAGACTATGCTGGCTGCGGTTCGCCTTGAGAGATGCAACTCGCCTAAGCCTCCGTATCATCCACGCTGCTACGCCCATTAGGTCGTTAGAGGTACATGAGCCCGTGCAACAAAAATGCACAGCAAGTATAGAATAAGTACAAAAATAACGTGTACTCAGTAAGTATCCGTCTAATCTCGAAGAAGTAGAGATGAGAGGTCGACTTCGACACTTACTAGTGGTCCAATGATAATATGCCAATAATTTAGTAAATTGAGGATTTTCATAAAAATTACTGTAACTCAAATAGCATGAGGCAAGTAAACAATTCTTTCGTTTATAGAAAATTCCCAAATTCATTTTCATCATTTATACATTTATCTCAGGTCAGGGAGAAACAAATATCAACATCTATAAATTTCAGGCAAGTAATACAAGCATGCGCAAACATGTCGACGTCGTACGACCATGTCCAACAAATATTTAAATCGTGCACTGCCAGAGGGTCGAATGGCGCGAACCATAGATACATCTATTTAATCTACTGAGGCGTTCAGCCCGTTCCACAATAGATAAACACATTCAAACGGTCAAATCAAGAATTCATCAAGAAGCAATTATTCAGGAAAAGGCAAGCTTCTCTTTTAAAAGTAAATAAATGATGTCTAGCCTCTTAGAAATTTACATTCGATATGTTTTAAGCATTTTTAAGTGGACAACAAGATTGCAAATATTACAAGTAAAGCATGCTTTTGGGCCCTAGACTACCCGGGCATAAGCATAATAGTAGCTACGCATGGACTCTCGTCACCTCGTACGTTCGTACCCCTAAAAAATAGGAGCACATATCCAATTAATTCACCTATGGGGAAAATTCCCTCTTACAAGGTTAGAAAGGAGACTCACCTCACTTCGATGTTCCATAACCGGCATTCCACGCCCTTCCGAAGACTCATATCGATGCATAACGCTCCAAAACTAGCCAATAATTATGCAAACCCATTAATATATACTCAATTACTCATGATAATCCAATTTATAAAAATTCCTAACCTCGATCGAAAAGTTGACAGAATCGCCCTCGGGCCCACGTGCCCGAATTCCAAAATTTTTCGAAGATAAACTTTACCCATAACCTCACGAACTCAAATATATAATCTACTCTCAATTTCATGCCCAAATTCGTGGTCAAAATTCAAAAAATACCAATTTCTATGTTTTCTTTCAAAACCTCAAGTTTTCATATATATATATATATATATATATATATATATATATATATATATATATATATATATATATATATATATAATATAATCTCAGTATTTAACTTGCAATATGTGTAAAGCACTTACCTTGACATGGATGATGAAGATGTAGCTCCAAAATCACTCCTAGGTCAGCTCCCATGGAGGAAATGAGATGAAATGAGCCAAACCCATTTTTGCAAACTCATACACTGCCCAGGTGATCCTTCTTTACGTTCGCGAGCCCCGCATCGCGTTCGCGATGATCAAAATTCTCAAAAGTCATTTCCAAACTCTTCTCAGACAGCCTCTAGTATAATGGCCTTAACTTTTTATATGAAACTCCCAATGACAAATAGTTTAATGTTTTGAAAGCTAGACACCACTACAACTTTCGTGTTTTGGTCATCTCCCAATTTCTTAAAGATTTTGAGATATAAGCTGCCAAAGTCAGCCCTATGCAATGCAAATTTCTTCTTCATCTTCCCGGACAGCCTGTAGTGTACCAGCCATAACGTTTTGTACAAAAATCCAAAATGATAAACGGTTTAATTTTCTAAAAACTAGACACAAAGGACTACAACTTTCATTTTAGGATCATCTCCAAATTTCTTATAGATTGTGTGATATGAGCCTCCGAAGTCAAATCCTTCTCGGCGAACGCGAGAGGATCCTCGCGAACGCGAAGAACAACATCAGACACCAGCATCAGCTATAGCAGACAGCCCGAAATGATCCGAAACCACCTCGAAACTCACTCGAGGCCCCCGGGACCCCATCCAATCACACCAACCAGTCCCATAACATAACACGGACCTGCTCGAGGCCTCAAATCACATCAAACAACGCTAACCATGAATCACGCTCCAATTCAAGCTTAATGAACTTTAGAAATTCAAACTTCTACATTCGATGCCGAAACCTATCAAATTACATCCGATTGACCCAAATTTTGCACACAAGTCATATTCGACATTATGGACCTACTCCAACTTCCGGAATCGGAATTTGACCCTAATATAAAAAAGTCCACTTCCAGTCAGACTTCTCTAAAACCTTCAAATTTCTAACTTCAGCCAAATGACTCCAAAATGACCTACGGACCTCCAAATCCTCTTCCGATCGCGCTCCCAATACCAGAATCACTACACGGAGCTATTCCTAGACTTGGAATCCCAAACGGACATCGTTAACACTGAAATACACTTCATCCCAAATTTTTGAAATTCACCCAAAAATGCTAACTTCCACAATAGGCGCCGAAATGTTCCCGTGGCATCTTAAACCTGATCCGGACATCCGCCCAAGTCCAAAATTATCATACAAACTTGCTGGAACCTTCAAATCCCTATTTCAAGGTCGTTTACTTAAAAATCCAGTCTTAGTCAATTTTCCAACTTCAAGCTTTTGAAATGAGAATTTTCGTTCAGAATCCAATCCGAACTTCCCGAATTTCGATTCCGACCATACATACAAGTCAAAATACCTGAAGTGAAGCTACTCATGGCCTTAAACCGCCGAATGACGCGCTAGAACTCAAAATGACCGATCGGGTCGTTACACCACCCGACATCTCCATCGCCGAAAATCTCCCTACGGCGGCGAACAGTCTCCAAACGACCCCAAATCATCACCACACAATCCCTAGCCTCCACTAACCTGCCATTAGTTTCCCCAAAATCCCCACCAAACTCGTCAACTTTCAGATCTAAATCCAGAAAAAACTTAGTCCACCCCTCTTCGATTTTTTCTCAAAAATCCCGGTTTGTTTGGGCTTAAAACCAATGCCAATCGACCTCTGTTGTTGAATGTTACAAGTTGGCTTGGTTGTGTCTCGTTTCAAGGTTGCCGTTCAACTCGCCACTGACTGGCCAGTTTTGTGGAAAGCCACCGTAATTTTGGGTCATTTTCCTCTTTGTTGGTTCATGTTTGTCATTGCTACTTGAAACACTGGCTACGCCCTTAAGCGTGAGTCAGTGTTTGTGTTGCGATGCAGGACATCGCCCAGAATTTCTTTATTTCCAGCAATAGTGATCTATTGGTAATCCTTTCCTCCTCCTTTTCATTCCCTGAATTAGCGATTCTTTGTTTAATTGTTACTTAATTATCAGTTTTTGTTTGGAAGCATGTTTAGTTCAATCATTAATTATTTTAATTCTCTAATTAGTTGTTTGCTGAATCTAAAGTTTGGATAGCTTATTTTTGTGGTTTCAAATTGCATTTTTTTAATTAATATAATAATTAGCTGATAATTCGTGATTAGTTGGATTTGCTAGCTTTTATTAGTTTAAACTTAGTTAATTCCCGATTAATGCTATTAAGAGAAAGAGGCAGTAATTCTATTTAAGAGGATAGCAGATTGAGATAAGGGCTTTAGTTGGTATCAAATGAAACTTTAGGGGTAAATGAGATGGAAAAAATCAAGGAATCTTTCTATTAGCTTATGGAAAGCTCTAGAAGGGTCTAGAAGGGGATTAAAATGCAGTATTTTCGAAATGAAAGGGGCTGGAAAAATGAGAAAATAGGCTAAGGGAAAGCTGTCCATTTTCAGTTACAACAGGTGCCCTTATCTCCTAAAAATAGCTGACATTACCTATATTCCCTTCCATTTTCCATCCTGTAGGATACCCTTCTTACGCTCTACAAAAGGGAGAAAAATCCCTGCAGAAGGACAGACTTCAATTCTCTGAAAATTCAGAATTCCCAATTCATTTTTACACTGGTTCCCTGTATTCCTCAAGCATATTCCTTCACTCATTGTTTCATTAGTTTCTGGGTGCTCTCTGGACTTTTGGAGTAGTTTCAAAGCTGTTTGTTTTGTGTTGTTTCTGATGCTGCATTTGCTCTTGTTGTTACTCCTTCCCAACTTCAGAGATTTATTTTCTTTTGCCTAATTCTGCTGTAAACTGGTACTTTTCTCAATCAAATAGTCCAGTCTATTTGCAGCACGGAATTGTTGACTGCTTTGATGCATTTTAGTGTGATAAATTTGTTGGAAAAATCATCAAGTTGTGTCAGTTTGATTATTGTTTGGAATGTAGTTCTTTGAGTTATAAATGGAATAAATTATATATATCATGTTAGAGGGTGATATAAAGATCTATTTGCTTATTATTAAATCGAATGAAATGATTCAAGATATTAGATTTGATTGAAAAGCATATGGAGGGCAAGATTAATGTGAGTCTACTGTTTAGGAAACTGATAATTTAGAGTGTTGGAGATGATAGCTTTTCCTTTTTGTAAATTTTCCACGCATGTATATTGTTGATGTAATGAATTCGTTCTTTTTTAGAAGATTTATTTAAATATTTCTGGTTCCCGAGCTGAATGTGAAGATGTGTAAAAATTCTAAATGGAATTCTAGGAGCATTTTGAGGTCATTGCAAATACCATGCTCAAATGGAAAGATGATTTGTCTTTGTTTATGTTATGGCATTTAGTGTAGATAGGAATGCGTTTTGGACAAGATATCACGTCATACACTCACTGTAGTTGTTAAATTTTAGCTACTTGTATTTCAAACATGATTGTAATCTGACGTCAAGTTTATTTTGATTGAAGAATAATCTATACTCCTGTTTGTTCATTCAAATCAAAAATAAATTCATTTTTTAATAATTATGTATTATTCTTGAAATTAGGCATTATTTTAGGAAATCAGCTTGTTGTAATTGTAATTGGGTTGTGATTTTACTTTGATAAGAGCCTAGCTATTAGGTTTGAATTTTGAGTGGGTTCAAAACCCAGTGTTGTTATCCAGTGATGTAGAGTCCACTTGGACTCACTACTGCTCACACGCAGGTTTCTATATTGAGCCTATCACCTGGACCTATTCACCCCTCTTGTTTGATTCATCATGATTCCATTAAAGCAGAAAAGAGTATTACATGACCTTTCGTGATCAATTTTAGTTCATCCTTAACTGACTATCTTCTGTCAATGTCAAATAATCTTTAATTGAGCTAGCCTTAGAAATCAACTAACAACTCCAACATAGTTTAGCTAATTATATCTATTCTCTGTCGTCCTTCATCTGTAATAATGGATTTCCACATCGACCTCCAAACAATAGCTAACCTAATAGCCTTGAACATCCTAATTTGCTTTAGGAGCGCTTTAATCGTGATTGTGTACACGTTCGCGTGATATAATTGTCATTTCCAAAATAAATCAATGTACGTGTTAGCGCCACTTTGGCCAAACAATCTTAATAATTATTAAAGCGTGATTAATTGTGTACACGTACGCGTGACATGATTTTAGCGCCCCAAATAAAGCGGATTCACACACATGTGATCCATTTCCAAGATAAATCATAAATGCCATAATTAAAAGCGGTAAAAGGCAAATATACATAGGTTCTAAAAATACGTAATTATACAAATTAATTAAGCTAGGTATGATCAAAGTGACCGTGCTAAAACCACAGAATCTGGGAATGCCTAATACCTTCTCCCGGGTTAACAGAATTTCTTACCAGGTCTTCTGATTTTCGAAGACTTTAAACAGAGTCAAATTTCTTCGATTTGGGATTTTAAAATAAACTAGTGACTTGGACCACCATAAAAATTATTCCTAGTGGTGACTCTAAATTAAATAAATAATCTCATTTCGAATAATGTCACTTTAATTGGAAAAACTCCCTATTTCTCGGAAAAAGGAAGTGTGACACAACCTTTGGGTAAGTAATTCTAATCTAATTCTAATCATATTTCATCGTTATTTCTTGGATTTTAACATCAAAATCTTGTGAATCAAAGTGAATATTTGTGAAACTTTGTCAAGTTTTTAAAAAATAAAAATTTGAGTATTGAGAGTCGATTTGGACTCGGATTTTGAAACTAATCACATATATGAACTCGCAGGGTCATGGTAGACAGAATCTACCATTGGACCCGGGTTTTGACCGGGCAAGTCTCGAGTTGACTTTTGAACAGTTGTGTAAAGATTGTTACTTTAATAATTGGGATTGATTTCTTTTGCATTATTTGGTGTTATTAAGTCAACTTTTGTTAGGTTTGTACCGAGCAGAGGTGAATTATAAAGGAAAAGCTATCTTTGAGAATTGATTGAGGGCTTTCGAGGTAAGTATCTTGCCTAACGTCGTGTGGGAAACTACCCCATAGGAAATTGATTTATTTGCACTATTTAAACTACGTGAAAGACATGTACACGTGTCACGACCTGAAATCCCTCCGATGGAGTCGTGATGACACCTAGTCTCTAAAGCTAGGTAAGCCTAACAATAACGGGAATAACAGTAATATTTACTAACTTCGAACAATTTCGAGATACAAATCTCTATACAACTTACAATCCCAGAACCGATAGTACAAGTCATAAGCCTTTCTAGGAGTAGTTACACATAATGAATACATCACTATTCCAGAACAAGAGGAAACAATGGAAATAATTACAATAAAAGGTGACTCCGAGGCGTGCGGACGCAGCAGCAGGTTTACCTTGAGTCTCCACACAACGATACGCACAGCCACTAATAATTGAATACCTGGTCTCTACAAATAAAATGTACAGAAGTGTAGTATGAGCACACCATAGCGGTGCCCAGTAAGTATCAAGACTAACCTCGGTGGAGTAGTGACGAGAAACAGTCAAGACGCCTACAGGTCAATAACCTGAACATAATATTACATAAAGCTAACAAGATAAAGATAATAAAGTAATGCCAATAGCAGGAAGAAATCAAATTACAAATAGTAGAGATGATAAGAGGAAAACACGGATGGTAACGAAAAATAACCAAGTAATTTCACACCAACATAATTGGGATACAGACAAGTAAAAATGTGCTCAAGTAAGGGAAACAGTGTTAACTCAACCAATCGCATCGTTTCTAATACACATTTCCGATCATCCCGATCCTCGTAACCTCGAATCATAATCACAACCCCCAAACTTTTAACACACATGGCACCTTGTGCCCACATATTTTCATCTCCCTTTGCACGGCAAAATCCATGTGCTACTTAGTACATATTATCTGTGTCAAATGCTTATTAAGATGTTCAAGAAGTTCTCTTTATATATCATAGAGTAAATTTACAGTTTCTAGACCAAATAGGAAACCAGCGAGAAAGATGAAACTATTTTAAGAAATCATTTAAGTGAAGAAAATAACATTTTCAAACAAAATACAACATCGAAATAGCTATTGCCTTTAATATAGGATTCCTTAAATTAAAACTTAATAGCAATTCCCTTTTAAGTAAAATACAAACCTTGGACAGGTTAAGGAGATTTAGTTAAGAAACCAATTGAAATAAAATATAACAATTTTTTTAGAATTAGTAATACTGAAATATATGGCGAGTTCTAATTTAAAAATCATACAAAGTAACATGATATTAATTCCTTTATTTTAAATCATTATATTACCAACAACTCAGCAGTGCGAAAGGTAATGACTCAACGTAGTAAATTCACCTTGAAAATAAATTTATAGGAATAACAGTACTAGAAAAAGATCTCAGGAAATGATGGCAAGGAAATAATGTCAATGATAATGACTAAATCCTCGAAACACTTTGAAAACCGGAAAAAATACAAATTCTCAGAATCTCGTATGAAGGAACTGAAGCCAATACAATAAAACAGGGGATACAGAATACCCAAATATCATAATTCACCCTTATTTAACAATATCAGTCCACCCTTATTCCACCTGTTGCGGCGTGCAACCCGATCCCACCGTACATTAAATATCAATATCATAACAAACATAACATGTATCAGCGCGCAACCCGATCGCATCGTATATTATGAATATCATAATTCCTTATTTCCAATAACAATCCACCCTTATTTCACCTGTTGCAGCGTGCAACCCGATCCCACCATATAATAACAATATCACAATATAAATATCCTCCCTTATTCCACCATCTCCCTTTTTTCACCTGTTGCGGCGTGCAGCCCGATCCCCCGTACAATAATTTAAATCAACAACATCAATTCAATAACTCAATTTACAAGAATTTCCACAACTAAAAGTATGAGTTCACGGCAATAAGGAGACCACGTAAAAGTCAAAGAAAAACAACAACATTTACAAATTGACAGGACATGCAAGGCACGTGATAACTACGCAGGCAACCACAACAATTTGGACATGTAGCATATATGAACAAAGTCATAGAGGAACTCACAATTAATAAGTAACAGGACAATAAAGGCAATCACTTCAATTAAGGCAAATAAGGGCCAAATAACAAGTAAGAGGTAAAGATGAACTAACAACATCATATAAAGCATGTAGAGGTGAGACTAGAAAATAGGAAACTCAATCATATCAGAACAACTTCCTATTTAGTGAATATAAGGAACTAAGAACCCTAAAAGGCCAACTTTCCACACATAAGTCCGAGCACGCACTCGTCACCTTGCATACACGGACTACAATTAGTATAGAAGACTCAAATCCTAAGGGGAAATCCCCCACACAAGGTCAGGCAAGATACTTACCTCAAAGAACACAAATCAATACTGTCGCGCCCCCTTTTTTCTCCCTTCTTGCGGGGAAGTCTGGGTTTCGACATTCATGGGGGAACAACTCGTTTCCTTTTGGGAATCAGGAAAATTACAAATTCAATCACACACGAAATTAGCATAGTGTTCCTTCAATTAAGGACAAATACCCAACGGTTAAAGGACAGGAGTCACTTAAGGAAAGAAAATCAAATCAAACCTAAGTAAAGAGGTAAACAAATAGAAGTTTAATTAAGGAAGTAATCGTGAAGAATCAGTAACACTATAGACAATAAGATAATAAGAATAATTAGATCGTAAACAAGGGAGTAAATCAAGAATTGGCACATAATTTTGACCAAGCAAATCAGTAAATTGAAATTCAGAATAATACTGATTTAAAAAGAGTGAAAAATATCAGTTTTCCACAAATAGATGAGTAGGCTGAACAAACTTCATAAACACACATAAATAAGCCAAGAGATCGACTCAGAAACCCTAGTAGAGATGTACTAGGGTAGAAGTCACAAGATACTAAGGAAAATCTTGAAAGTCAAAACACAGACCAAACAATGTAGCCAGTAACACAGAAAGATTCAGAAACGAAGCAAAAATATGAGAAATTAGGGCTTAGCATAAATCGACAAGGGTCCAAACAATATTAATACGAATCAGTCAGTAACACTTAAGAACCACGATTAAACACTCAAAAATCAGAAAGTCTTCAAAAGAGTTAGTTCAGTAAACCCTAGTTTTTAGGGAAAATGGAGAATCGATTAAAAAGCATAAGAATTTTGTGAAAACATGTGGAACAGACTCGATTCATCTCAGATCTTGACAGATCTGAGAAGATCAAAGGATAAAGTTTTTTTTTGGAAAAGCAACAGAGACATGC